GAAAAACTTCTAGTTCTTGTGAAGTAGATAGCACAGGTTGTTGTGATGGCTCTTCTGCTTGCAAGCTTTCATAATACTTGACAAGAACCTTCCATCCACTTGGGCACATAAAACCATCTGGTGGATTCTCCCCAAAGCCCGCATCTAGAAATATAAATCACCAAAGAAAACATAAAAATTTGCAAAGAACAGTTGTCCAATTGTCAAAGGAATTCAGAATTCAACTTGATGATGCATGTTATTCACTTTAGTTATGTCTCCTTTAGGCGTATATATAATCATGTCGTTAGGAACCAATATCTTATTGATATTTTGTATTTAACATACTTTAATCATATATGAATTTGAAATCAAACACAAAATTTGAGTTAAATACAAATGTTGCTGCCTTTCTTTAATTTTTCAAAGTTCCAACTCACTAGCATACACACAAATTACTTTTGTTTAAGTTGCAGCCAGCAAGAGTGTAAGATACAGGAACCAGGATACTTAAATTGTAACCTAATATGATACATTGACTACAAAGCTATTTAATTAAAAACCAAGTATTGTTGACAAATGCCAAATTAAGGTTGATGGAATTGGAATCTGAAACACCTGACTGAATGACAGTGAGTCAAATAATACCTTGGTTCCAGATATAAAAAGGAAATCTTTAGCACGGGTTGGATCAAAAAATGCTATCTTACTTTCCTTAGTGTCATAAGCTGCCACCTGTATTTTAAAAATGCCAAACAAGGCAAAAGATATCATTAGACTTGAGCGTGCTCTAAATAATCATAACATGAAACAGTTCGTCAGCATAATTTTTGGTAGTATATTAAACTTATGAAAGAAATTTTATGTAATAATGAACAAGTAAATTTTGTCATTTCCCTTCTCAAACAATAAGAGACATGGTATGCATCACTAAGCAGTCAATTTGATCGACCAAATATCAACTTCAGTGAAACATTGCTTAAAATATGAAGCAGAGCATAGCGTAGAAGAAGATACTATTAAAAGAACGTATCTCAGAGGAGCAAGAACTAGCCATGGGTAAAAGTAATACTACCTACCCTAAATGGCAAAATGTTAAGCTTCTCCAGACCAGGAGCCATGCTGAGCACCTTTTCCCATGATCAGGGTCATACAAATCCCTTTTCTCAGTTGGGTGGCCCACACCAGCAGGATCGCGACTAACAACAATATAGAAGTTGGCACCTGCGTTTATCCGTGCCTTGGCATGCCACTGTACTTCAGTAGGACCTGCATAATGCATTGGTGATGGAAAAATTGCAACTATGGTAGTCTCAGGATCAACAACTCCATCTTCTAGGACCTAAGAAGAAACAAAGAACATGATAGGATAAAATTCCGTAGATTGTGCGATTACAAACGAATACATTGCTGAAATTGAATGACAGTTCAGTCATTTCCAAGGACATTTCTGTGTGTGTATTGTTATAGCACATGCACATTATTATATTACTCAAAGCCTTATGAGAAGAACAATGGGAATTAATTTGCTATGTTGCTCCATCCTGACATCCAAGGGAACATCATCAGTCTTGGTGAAACCTCCAAGAGGATGAAGCAATAAAATTGGATTTCTGTAGCCCATTTCCAATAAGCGCGTACGAGTATCATTCATTAACAAGGCATGACCATTATGCACAGGTTTCTTAACTGAAATGCAAAAACTGCATCTGCTTCACGTTTGTCAAATTCTTCACAGAGTTGTTTGGGAGAGAGTCTGTAGTTATCAAGACCATCATTATATTTGATAGGTTTTAGAACTTCCAAATCTCCTCCAATAAGCCAATTTCCAGCTGGAGTAATCACTTCCTCAACATATGGCAATCCTGGAGCAGTTGTACCCCAAGTTCTAGCTATTCTTTCTTCCTTGTTATGCTTGTAAATTTCAATACTGCATAAGAGTTGAATGGTTAATGAAAGCCAAGAGATACCATGACAGAAATTTATTTAGATAGCCAGAGCACTTCAATAATCTTATTTTCAAAAGAATGTCCAAAAGACATTAAGACTTTCAGCAACAGCAGAAGCTTATCCTGCTATGTGAGTTTGGATACATGAATTACACATTGCCATTAAGCCCAGTCAACGACTGTAAGGTTTACAGTTAAAGAAAAACAGAAGACTGAAAACTGAAAGGAGGAAACCAACTTCCAAGTAAGAACATGTGAGACATGTGAAAAGACATAATTTAAGATAGGTCAATAGTTTTTTTTCTTAACAATTTTACTTTACTCAGTATTTTACTTAGCCCTCAATCGAGGGTTCTAGCTGTATAAAATCAGTCTTGTACAATCATAACACACAGGTGACAGACAATGCTTATTGCTCAGTTTTATCGAGTATCAGAGCAGCATGCTTGCTTTGCATATTCTCAAAATTATTTATCTAAGCTTAAGTCATTTGCCGGGAATGATTCAACCATGACAAACCCACCAAACACAATGACCCTTCATCACTTTTCAGTCACCTTATTCCCTTAATTCCTCATATAACCCTAGCACTCCTTTGTTTTTTTTACCTGCTCAAAGGAGAAAATATGCCATTTATATGAGAGGGAAACATGAATAAACTGTGTGCCATAAACAAATATGGATTTGTAGATGAGATGCTTAAGGCTTGGTTTATCAGTATCATTCAGAGGAGCACTATGAGCAGCAACTCTCCAGCTCTTTTATTAAGTGCTGGAAAGCCTCAAGCAATGGTAAGACCCTTCAAACTGAAATCCATGTCTCTAAATAATGGATACTAGATAGTGATGTTTCGGATCACATGACAGCTAATAACTTAACTAGTGCCCATTTGAAATCATTCCATAACCATTTGGTTGTAAGTTGTAAGTGAAGATTAAAATCTTCTTTTGGTGTTTCAACTTCCATTCACATGCATTTTTTTTAAGAACCAATCAGCATTCCATATATCTTCCAAATCTTTCACAAACACACCAAACATACTGTTTTGGTCTGCCATACTGTCGGCTAACAAGTGCAAACACAAGAGACAACTCCACAACACAATGCCACTTAAATGCATTTCATCAATATCTTCACATAGAGGACTGGGATGGAAACAATTTCCATTCTTGCTCAGCAAGTTGGGCATTTTGAATCTATGTGTTCCCACTTGAGAGACATATTAACATAAGAAAAATATGTGTAATTTGACTAAGATAGTTCAATAACTTTTGTGACCAAGAAAGTCCAATATGTAATTTTTGTGAATATGTTCCATTGACTAAGCTTTTCACTAGGCCTTGCCTAAGGCTCACTGTTCAATTTTACAATAGATAGTGGAAAAGGAAGAGAGCAGGGGGCGAGGCCACCCTATTCCAGTGGCAGGGCATGCCACAAGCCTCAGCCATGGTTACATTGATAATTAAAATCATCTACCAAAGCTAATTTCTGGCAGCAGAAACCAAACCTAAGTACTCTTAACTACATTGGTACAATAACCAACTGAACCAAGCCCCTTTGCTGGGGGCTTCATAAATTTACTCAAATCAGGATGCCAATGTTAATTTCTCATTAGGGATTCAAATGGCGGTACCATACATCTAGTTTTTGTTCCTTTTTACAATTTTAATCACTAAAATTCATTCAGCAAAATAATTGATCAACCGACAAGAAAACACCAATCAGAAAAGAAAAAAACACTAACCTTCGAAGAATAGCGACACGATCCCCATCAGGGCCAAGCAACCGCACATGTGAAGATGACCCAATTCTCTCTTTAGCCTCATCATCAATGGCCAACAGAATGGGAAGTGACATGTTCGCCACAGAACCATCCATCATCCTAAGGGAATTGAAATGCAAACTCTACAGATACTCATCCTCCCTCATGAACCCCTTCAAGGGACTAGCCCAACCTTCCCCTATCTATAACATGCACCCACTCAAGGACATGCTCAGTGAGGACAATGATTCTACCCCTTTTCTTAAAGAGTATAACCGTTATTTCTCTGAACTTTGTAATTGATTTGTGGTTAGATGTAAAACCTGCATTTAGCAGTGTTATGCATGATTTATGTTTTTCGTTTAGAAAATACGGTAACAATGATTTATTGCTTTTGTAATGCCTTCACTTTATCTATAATTTTTGTACTCTGACGTTTGTGAAAATATAAATTCCTATGGTTATAATTCCTAAAAGAAAAAAATTGAAGTTTTTTTTATTCCTGATTATTATTTTGTTAGCAGCTTTAATTCTGTTGTTAACTTCCTACTGTGTTTTATATTAAATATCAAATAATTTTTTTATTTATTATTTTAGAATATTAAAAAATATTAATTTATTTTTTAATAAATACATTACTTATTATTGATAATTGTTACCAACTAACTATTATAATAATTCTAAAATTATTTTAAAAATAATTTTTATCAATTAACTACTGCAATAACTTTAATACTTTTAATAAAAATATTTTAATAATATAAATTTTTTTATTATAATAATTAATAAAATTAATTATTTTTTAAAGATTTTTAATACTAGCTAACATCTATAATGAGACAAAAAAATGATTCCGGACGCTGATAAAAGAAAACAAAAATTAGACTCTAAGAAAAATAAATTGCCTCTTTTCTCTCTCTTATTTTTTAAGGAATGTTTGTTATAAATTATTTTCTGTTAAAGCTTGTTTCTATTGATCACATAACCCCCGCATCCCTCCCACTCTCGAACATACAACCTCGTGCATTCCTTCCACTGTTGAACATACAACCCCTCGTTCTTCCCTCCCATCATCCATCACTTTTCAAAAACGAAGATGTCAACTAAGGTGGAACAATAAGAAAATCCACAACATGACCCTCTTGCTATCGATCAACTTCAGATTTAAATATCTCTTCTTTCTCATATTCTTATTCACCCCATTTACTTTTTTTTCTTTTATATACCTTTTTCACACACATTATACTTTAGGGCAAAAATTCCCTTTTTGTGTTTTCTGTTGAACCTGATGCTTAATCACAATGTCAGTAATGGGGTAAGCCTCTACAGTTGTTCCATATGGTATTTGCACGGTTGAATCCCTTGTCAACAAAAGAAGTTTTAAAAATTAAAGGAATCAGAAAGGACTTTTAAAAATTAAAGGAATCAGAAAAGATGCAGTTGACAAGATTATCGAAGTAGGTATTATTCACCTTGGCTTTTGTTTCCCTTGCCTATTTCTTTTGATTGCTACGAAGCTCTTCTGATGTTGCTTTCTTTTCACAGCCTCTAAGCTTGTGCCGATGGATTTTATCAGTGGTAATGAACTCGAGGCCAATTGCAAGGCAACCATTCATATAACTACAAGATCAAGACAGCTTGACAATATATTGGAAGGTCAGAATCAGAAACAATAACACCTTGTTTAATGTCTGTGTGGAATTCACTGTTAAAGTGTCTTAAACTTGATACTGCTGTTTATGCCAGGTGGAATTGAGACAGGTTCTATCACTGAGTTACATGGTGAATTTGAAACTGGGAAGACTCAATTGTGTCACACCTTGTGCGTGACTTGCCAGGTAAATGGTTTCTTTACGGCAGTCAGAATACATTCATGCTGAATAAGTTGTTGTAGTGTATTCAGTTTCAAACTCGTCTTGTCATGTTTGGCATGAAATTTGAGTTTGTGAAGCTTTTGGTTCGTACATACTGTGTTATACCTTTGCCTAATGTTTCAATTTATTGTTGATGTTGTAGTTGCCACTAGATAAAGGAGGTGCTAAGGGGAAAGTTATGTACATAGATACAGGGGGCTCATTTAGGCCTCAACGACTCTCACAGATAGCAGATAGGTATAATGATTCTTGATATTAAGACTTTGCTTGCATGTGTCTTTGATATGTTGGTATGTCCATTCAATATTTATGTTTCTTTTTCCTACAGGTTTGGATTGGATGGGTCTGATGTAAAGGGAAATGTCACTTATGTTAGAGTGAATAACACTGATCAGCGATCAGAAATGCTCATCTCTTTGTAGTTTCTTCTATGGGTGAATCCTGGTGGGGACCCAGGTTCAATTTTGTGTTGAAAAGCCATGAGAAAATGAAAAATTTGGGGGAAAAGAGACGAAGGAGAAAATGGGTTTCGTCAAAGTTACACAAAAGAAGGGCTGTTCTGAAGAATTTAAGCAATGCGTAAGCATATTTGAATTCTTTGTAACATATTGAATTATCTTGTCTTGTTCTTGTGAAATTACCATGACTAAAGAATTTCTTGTGGTGTGCTAGGCATAATTGCAGATTAAATCCTTTATCTAGTATTAGACTTCACTGTATGATCAGTCCAATATAAGGTTTAGAGAAATTTGTCAAATCCAAGGTGTTTATGGCTAGAATGTGGCCATGAGAACACACTACAAAGAGGAGACAACAAGGATATAAATATATATTACGCCAGTATAAGTTATACCCATTCTTGCATTGTTTAAGAATTTTTTATTAGATAATTTAATCTTCAAATCAATTGTTAGATCTCAAGTTCTAATAACATAAATTATGTATGTAACATTTTAAATCAATTGAAAATTATTTGATATCTTATTTCATATACATTAAAATTAACATAATTTATATTTTAAAAATATATGAAAATAAAGACTATTTAATTATATATATTTTTGTTGATTGATAAACTTTAATGCCAATAGTCAAGGTTATAAATAATTATAATTGAATGATTGGATTAATGAAATTCATATTTTATGTAGTTATTGATGGTGTAAAAGTGAGTGTCATTTACATTGGTATAATTGGATTTTTTTTATATTTGTTTATTTTGTGTGACAGCAAAATTTTAAATGCTTTATTTGGATATTTGTCATAAAATATAAAAATTGTGAATTTGTTTTCTTACTCTCTGTGACTCAATGCAATTCTCCATAGCCTTACAGCCCTACATGGCTTGCTGATATGATTTTGTCACTTAGATTCTACTATAGATTTTCTAAGTCATGCTTACTTCTACTTGGCAGAGTCACATAAGGTGTATAGTTGGGAATTTTTTTTTTTTTGACAAATCATTTATTTATTCATATTACATAAATTTGATATTCATTGTGTCATGTTTGGAACATTGTATAGTATAAAGGCAAATAATACAAGGTTTGATAAATATACAAGGTATTAGTTTTCTAATTGATCTCACACTTAATGTGTCATGCATGATTATGTTTATGTAATTATTTCTGTAACAAAACTTACAAAATTTATTAAAATTAAGTAAGAAAAATGAGATATTGTAGCATGAGAGTGATGACCCACATAGATAATGTTTTGAACTGCATAATAAAGAAAACAGTGAACATGCGAGAGAAAAGGAGAGGACAATGCATGGTTGGCCATGTGGTTCTGGTGTCGGCCATGCAAAGGGGCTTTCCGTGATTTCACAATTTTCTTATCTTTTAATTTCAAGTAGTCATTAAAAAAAAAGAAATTAAATTTCAAGTAGCATTACCTATCGATAAGAATATATAATTATAATTATTTTTTATCCTTAAATATTATATTTATCTTATATCTCTTTTATTTATTTCTTTGGAATAATTTTTTTATTATTTGTTTTTTAAATTAAAATTAAAGAGGAAGTTATTAAATAAATAAATAATAAATCTGCAAGAAAGTGTATATTATAGAAGTATCAAAAATTCACTCACGTAATTTTGTTGAAAGAAGTTATAATCACTTCAATGAAATTAAAGTTAGTGTCAGTTTTGTTCTTAATTGATTACATGTATAGAATATATTTTGTTTCAAGAAACTATATTCACTTTCTTAATTGATGCAGTGGGAGATCTGGGCATTGTTTGCAGTACAATGCTTACAAGGCTGGATTTTAGTTTGGCTTGTTTCTCAGAGAAAGTTTGCAACTTGAGCATTTTTGTGATGCATCTTGCAACTATGGAGAGTGAAGAGAGTTGGAAAGATTCTTGTACAGTCTTGAAGCTTGGATCGCTGAAGTTAGAGAGAGTATGTTCTTGCACTCACTTGGGAGAGGCTTTGATAATTTTGTCAACTTCATCTTTTCCGATTCCTTTAATTTTTAAAAGGGCTTTCTTTCGAGTGTTGACAAGGGATTCAACCGTGCAAATACCAGAATCTTTAAGCTTTTGAACAACTGTGGAGGCTAAACCCAATTCCTGACATTGTGATTAAGCATTAGGGTTCAACAGAAAACACAAAAAGGGAATTTTTATCCTAAAATATAATGCGTGTGAAAAAGGTATATAAAAGAAAAAAAAAACTAAATGGGGTGAGTAAGAATATAAAAAAGAAGAGATCTTTGAACCTGAAGTTGCTCGATAGCGAGAGGGCCATGTTGTGTGATGTTTTCTGATTGTTCTATCCTGATTGACATCTTTGATCTTTGAGAAGTGATAGATAATGGCAGAGAGAAGAACGAGGGGTTGTATGTTCGAGAGTTGGAGCGATGCTAAGAACGAGGGGCTGTGTGTTCAATAGAACCAGAAAATAATTTATAACAAACATTCCCTCAAAAAAAAAAAAAGATAGAGAAAGGAGGCAATTTATTTTTCTTAGAGTCTAATTTTTGTTTTCTTTTATCAGCTTCCGGAATCATTTTTTTGTCTCATTATAGATGTTAGCTAGTATTAAAAATCTTTAAAAAATAATTAATTTTATTAATTATTATAATAAAAAAATTTATATTATTAAAATATTTTTATTAAAAGTATTAAAGTTATTGCAGTAGTTAATTGATAAAAATTATTTTTAAAATAATTTTAGAATTATTATAATAGTTAGTTGGTAACAATTATCAATAATAAGTAATGTATTTATTAAAAAATAAATTAATATTTTTTAATATTCTAAAATAATAAATAAAAAAATTATTTGATATTTAATATAAAACACAGTAGGAAGTTAACAACAGAATTAAAGCTGCTAACAAAATAATAATCAGGAATAAAAAAAACTTCAATTTTTTTCTTTTAGGAATTATAACCATAGGAATTTATATTTTCACAAACGTCAGAGTACAAAAATTATAGATAAAGTGAAGGCATTACAAAAGCAATAAATCATTGTTACCGTATTTTCTAAACGAAAAACATAAATCATGCATAACACTGCTAAATGCAGGTTTTACATCTAACCACAAATCAATTACAAAGTTCAGAGAAATAACGGTTATACTCTTTAAGAAAAGGGGTAGAATCATTGTCCTCACTGAGCATGTCCTTGAGTGGGTGCATGTTATAGATAGGGGAAGGTTGGGCTAGTCCCTTGAAGGGGTTCATGAGGGAGGATGAGTATCTGTAGAGTTTGCATTTCAATTCCCTTAGGATGATGGATGGTTCTGTGGCGAACATGTCACTTCCCATTCTGTTGGCCATTGATGATGAGGCTAAAGAGAGAATTGGGTCATCTTCACATGTGCGGTTGCTTGGCCCTGATGGGGATCGTGTCGCTATTCTTCGAAGGTTAGTGTTTTTTTCTTTTCTGATTGGTGTTTTCTTGTCGGTTGATCAATTATTTTGCTGAATGAATTTTAGTGATTAAAATTGTAAAAAGGAACAAAAACTAGATGTATGGTACCGCCATTTGAATCCCTAATGAGAAATTAACATTGGCATCCTGATTTGAGTAAATTTATGAAGCCCCCAGCAAAGGGGCTTGGTTCAGTTGGTTATTGTACCAATGTAGTTAAGAGTACTTAGGTTTGGTTTCTGCTGCCAGAAATTAGCTTTGGTAGATGATTTTAATTATCAATGTAACCATGGCTGAGGCTTGTGGCATGCCCTGCCACTGGAATAGGGTGGCCTCGCCCCCTGCTCTCTTCCTTTTCCACTATCTATTGTAAAATTGAACAGTGAGCCTTAGGCAAGGCCTAGTGAAAAGCTTAGTCAATGGAACATATTCACAAAAATTACATATTGGACTTTCTTGGTCACAAAAGTTATTGAACTATCTTAGTCAAATTACACATATTTTTCTTATGTTAATATGTCTCTCAAGTGGGAACACATAGATTCAAAATGCCCAACTTGCTGAGCAAGAATGGAAATTGTTTCCATCCCAGTCCTCTATGTGAAGATATTGATGAAATGCATTTAAGTGGCATTGTGTTGTGGAGTTGTCTCTTGTGTTTGCACTTGTTAGCCGACAGTATGGCAGACCAAAACAGTATGTTTGGTGTGTTTGTGAAAGATTTGGAAGATATATGGAATGCTGATTGGTTCTTAAAAAAAATGCATGTGAATGGAAGTTGAAACACCAAAAGAAGATTTTAATCTTCACTTACAACTTACAACCAAATGGTTATGGAATGATTTCAAATGGGCACTAGTTAAGTTATTAGCTGTCATGTGATCCGAAACATCACTATCTAGTATCCATTATTTAGAGACATGGATTTCAGTTTGAAGGGTCTTACCATTGCTTGAGGCTTTCCAGCACTTAATAAAAGAGCTGGAGAGTTGCTGCTCATAGTGCTCCTCTGAATGATACTGATAAACCAAGCCTTAAGCATCTCATCTACAAATCCATATTTGTTTATGGCACACAGTTTATTCATGTTTCCCTCTCATATAAATGGCATATTTTCTCCTTTGAGCAGGTAAAAAAAACAAAGGAGTGCTAGGGTTATATGAGGAATTAAGGGAATAAGGTGACTGAAAAGTGATGAAGGGTCATTGTGTTTGGTGGGTTTGTCATGGTTGAATCATTCCCGGCAAATGACTTAAGCTTAGATAAATAATTTTGAGAATATGCAAAGCAAGCATGCTGCTCTGATACTCGATAAAACTGAGCAATAAGCATTGTCTGTCACCTGTGTGTTATGATTGTACAAGACTGATTTTATACAGCTAGAACCCTCGATTGAGGGCTAAGTAAAATACTGAGTAAAGTAAAATTGTTAAGAAAAAAAACTATTGACCTATCTTAAATTATGTCTTTTCACATGTCTCACATGTTCTTACTTGGAAGTTGGTTTCCTCCTTTCAGTTTTCAGTCTTCT